GAAGGCACAGCTGCCAGACACAACACACGATATTGGGATAAAGGCTGAAGGCTGTCACCCCACGACACATCTTGTGCCCCAAAGTCACCTTTCTGGCAGGGCAGCATGTGATATATGGAAACATCCTTGACTTAGTGTAAGCACTAAGCAGCAACTGAGCCATGGCTGGATTACCAATGTTATTCTCACTCTAAACCCAAATCATGGAACTGTACCTGCTAATAGAAGGAAAACTAACTCTATCCCAGATGAAACCAGGACAGTGTGGGACCATTGTATTATGCCATTGTAAAAGTAATTTCTACACTGTGCCTGATGTAGTTTTGAGTTTCACTTTGAAGAAAATACTGTTGATAACCTTATTTTTATATATGTTTAAGATATGCACACATATGCTGATCTTGTGCTATAATATGAAAGCACATTTCTCTAGGAGGTTGCATTGTTTCTTCAAATACTGGGTATCAGAAAAAGTCCATCATCCTTGCTGCCAAACCTAAACCTCCCAGGAGAGCACAGGCTTTGTGCAAAAACTGAAACAAAAGTATTTTCATTCCTTCCTGAGCAGTTCCTCAAGTGGAGCTATTCTTCAAATTATGCTGCTAGGGAGGGAAGAAGACTTTTTCTCTGTGCCAAGAAATTTTTTCATAAGATGGAATAGATAGGATTTGTGTAAGAGTGTATGACTAAAGACACAACTCATTTTTTAAAGGATTTATCACTTTTTGAACATGATTCGCAATCCTCAATTATCACCTGAAAAAGACAGAAGATAGAAAATCCTAGCTGAGACCCAAGAAAAAATGTGGTATTAATGTGTTAGGCTTTTTTGGCAATTTCTGTGGGCTTTGCAACTTACTGCAAAAAAGTCTTAGAGAAACATCATACAGCCAGTGAGCCTGTCTCCAAACTAAAACTACAGCAAAGGCGCAAATATTAGTTATATTTCTGAGTGGCGGTGCAGACAGCAAGCAATTTTGAGGTAAATAAAAGCAAAACAAATCCCAAAGCAGGTTTCGCAGCAATTATATTAGAGAAAAACATCTAAGTCAGTAAGAAAATGCAGCATGTAGCTGTTCCCGTGATTCATTTAACATGCTAATAGAATGGAAATTTTAGGAGATTCAGTGATGAACAGTTTGTCCTGTGCAGAACTATTCAAGGGCTTGACCTTCAATCATTAAATTTGAGTCAGGAGGATATCACTGATGATAATAATCATGTTTGCCACTTGCTGCGTATAGCATCTTTCATACAAGGTTGTCAAAAATTCACAAACATCAGTTAATTGCTATTCTTATCAGTTCTCTTTGAGTGTTATTAGTATTACATTCTTATATAATTCAGTATTTTAAACACACTTTATATTACTCCTAAGTACTTTAAGTTATTAATTTTATGTAACCTCCCTTAGGAAAATATCACAGAATGAATCTAACATTTTCAGATTACCAGAAACATTAGTCAACAGACTTTGAAAACTACTCTCAAGATTCCAAATGCAGGTTTCAAGGGCTGCATTTGCTCTCTGTTACAGTAATGTTCACAATCAGTGAACGGCTTCATTTGGAGAACAAAATTATTTATCACTTCTATTTAAACAAGCACTAAATAGAGTTTTTGTCAATTCTCATGTTTATTGAGCATTTACTAATTTTGTCTAAGGTTTGTAAAAGAATTAAGTGATTTATTTTTTTCTATTTGTGAATACAAATCCCTCCTACTTCTTCTGGAAGATTTCTTTTGTGCCCTTGCAAAATTAGTGCATATATCAGATTTCTACTAGCCTGGATTCCAGACTGACACCATAATTAGAGGATATGGAAAAAGATGATATATTTTTGTGAAATAGATATGATCCTGATTCCAGGCACCAAAATAAATCTGAATCTTTTCAGTAATTAGAGTGCATATTTCTGCCAGAGCCACATGTAGTCATAAAAGTAGTTTGTAGTAGTTTGTATTAACAAAGTAGTTATAAATCCCCATATCCAATTGTCTCCTCTTCACCTCCAGAACTACATTTTTGTTGTCCAGATGTGATTGCTCTCCTTTTTCTTTACCCTACAACTATCTTCCACACTCTCTGCTCAGTACCAGTGACTGTTGTTCTTCACAAGAAACAAATCCACACTAAATCCACCTGTCCAGTTTGCACATATGAAAGCATGTCCTGTTCATCCTTCTTTTTGAACAAATCTATATAGAAGCAATCAGGCTCAGGACCATAGTCAAACTTCTTAACTCCACTTCTAAACAAACCATGTAGTTTGGGAAGTTGGCATCTTGAGTGTGATCTTGCTGTTTCATAAAAGCAGTGCTCCCTCTGTAGCACACTCATATGGTTTGGATGAATGACCTGTTACCTTTGCAGGACCTCAAGTTTTGGGATTGGATCACAAATTGTGGGCAATTCTGTGATCCTGTCATAAATTTCTGTCCACGCCATTGAAAATGTCAGTGTAGACACACTACTGAAAATAAGCCCTGCATTAATATTTGTCTAAAACACAGATAGACTACTTCTAAGCCTCACTGTGATTTAGGCAAACACAGAACTCTAGATTATTTCATTTTAAAAAACCCAAACCATACTAATGTTAGTTTTACACATTTCCATAATTTCAATCAAAATGAATTTCAGATTAAGAGAAAATTAGTTCATGCTGAGAAGAAAAAATTATTAACCTACACAAAAAAATTATGTTATTTTGGAAGCTTAGTCTGATGGAGTAGGTCTAATAGTAGTAATTAAGGAGAGAATTATATGTACATGAAATTGCATACCAAACAGCCGAAATTTTGAGCACACAGCCCTCCAACCCTGTAATGTTTCAACATCTCTATATACCAATGAGAAACAAAGCTGTATCTTGTGACTGATTTGGCAAAATGGTTTGTAGCATCTTCTGCATACTCATTTCTTTGGGTACCTTCTCACTTGCCTTCTTCTCATATTGTCACAGACAATAGAACCATTTAGGATACAGCTTTTGCCCTATGGATTGCTAAGAGAAGATTTAGAAACAGCCAGCTGTGAAATCATTAAAGTCTGTATCAGATATTTGTGATTTTAACCTGGAAAAGCAGTTCTGCACAACTGCTGCAGTATCATTAGTGATTAGGGTACCATCAGGGCAGCAAATGTTGTAGCTATGCCCTCAACATATCCTTATTATCCCTCAAAGTAATTTAAATGTAGCTCCAGAACACCAGAGGTGAGCTCCTTCAAAATATGCTTTTCTCAGCCACAGTGGGGACTACCCAAACATCCAACATCTCAACGGGTAATGCTTTCTTTAACATCTAAGACCCTCAAAATATTCATACTATGAGAGAAAATTCCACTGCATAATAGGACTAGCACTGGAGTTTCAACATGTATAGGCCTACATGCCTTCTTCACCAGCTGATCTTACAATCTCCTTGGAGACAGGATGAAAAGTGGCACTCACTCAGAGCAGCACTTCTCCCACACTCTTTTATAGTTGGCTTGAACTTTCATTGCCATATAGTCCATGTAGACTCACACTTCAAAAAGGTCTGTAGTCCATGTGGAAAGGTGAACTGCCCTGAGAATTTGTTTCTTGTTTCTATGAAAATATGTTCAAGATGAAGGTTGGCTGTTTAACAAATATATTTGAACTTGATTTTGTTCAAAGAATTAACAGAAATCTTACCCAGTAGGGCAATCAACATCACAAAAAGTCATGAACAGTATTTGTTTCACTTAAAGTTCAAAGGATAAATTTAACCTCTGTAATTATTTTTCTTCCTAGTAAGAACAGAAATAACCCACTTTGTCTAAACTCATGCACAGCAGAGTGCTAAAAAT